TATTTTGTTCTATTGATCTGTGCATGTACTTCCCCACCAGTACCATACAGTTATGGTTATTGTAGCCAGAAGGTAAGTCTTGAAGTTGAGTGGAAAGCTTCTCTCACTATATTATTCTTTTACAAATTGTTTTAACCATTCCGGTTCCTTTGCCATGTATATGACGGTTATACATATATTTAAAACTTTCTATTTTTTTTTTTTTAATCCTCACCTGAGGACATTTTTCCATCTTTTGTACAAATAGAGTGGGAGGGAGAGAGAGGAAGAGAGAGAGAGAGAGAAACATCGACGTGAAAGGGACACATCAAGTGGCTGCCACTCGCATGACCAACCAGGGCCGGGGACAAACTGCAACCAAAGTACGTGCCCTTAGCAGGAACCGAACCCGGGTCTCTCCGGACCATAGGCCGACGCTCTAACCGCTGAGCCAAACTGGCCAGGGCAAAAAACTTTCTATCTTCTTTCAACTACTTTCTTTACTCCTTTTATGTTCTCAATCCAATATTTGTTTCCTTACATGTTTTCCAGCCTTTCCTCAATTTCTCTTAAAATTTTTATTTAAATCTATTCTTCTTTTCACAATTTATAATTTAAATGAAGATGTATTTAATTTCTTTGACTTTGGCCAGTTTTCATTGCATTTTTCCCCTGTCTTGTGATTGTTCTTGGGTGTTTTTCTTTGCCAATTCCTTAGTTTTAAATTTCTGACTCAAGGTATGTGCACATTACGTTTGTGCATCTCCAGATGCTTGTTGAGGGTACTCATTATAGTTTGGAGTGTTTCTTGTCTTACACTTTTTCTTTGTTTTATGGTTGGTTGGTGAGAATTTTTATCCAGATGGGATGTTTATATTCCATTTTCATGTTTTTTTCCTACAGGAGTTTTATAGGAAGTTTAATTTTTCCCTCTGTTCTGTGGCATTTTGTGGGCTGGGTTACTATTTCAAGAGCACTCTTTCTTGTCAGTTCTGTGAAATATAGTTTGTAAATGGATGATGAGGGCAGTAGAGAGGGGAAGGCGGAAAGAGGATTTGCCTGTCTTGTTTATCTTTCCCGTTTGCTGAATCCCTAATTTCCCCTCTTCTTTCCTTCTGTTCACTGCTGCCAGTGAGGGACATGATCTATTCCCAATTTACTTTCTTCTCTTATGAAAATGACACCTGTCTGAAATTGCCACTTTGGATTTTGCTTGATTTTGCGCCCATTTTACTATGGCCAGTGCTGTGGGTCACTGGCTGCTCATATTTTGGGCACTTATTTGTGATGATTTTGTCCATTTTTCCAATGTCCTAAGCCTCTTTCTCTCTCTCTCTCTCCTTTCCTCCCTTTCATGGAATCTCTTAAACTGGCCCTTATCCCTCCTTCTCTCTGCACCCACAGCCTCATAGCAGTTGCTGTTGGATTTTTTGAAAAACTTATAAATAACTTGAAGTTTGAAATTTGACATATTTTCTGTCTCTAGTAATGCTGATAGCATGGGTCATGTGTGATTTAATTTGTGCCCCTTGATGACCTCATAGGTTCTGGGAGAAGGATGTGTAGAGAGATATAGATTCAAATGGCTGCCATTTTCCTTGATACTCAGGAGCCTCTAGAATGTAATAATTTATTGACCAAAAGCCATCATGTAATCCCTCTAAAACTTGTGCTATAATGGGATGTGGGGAAAAGTCAACATTATAGTAAAATTATAACATACAAATTTCCTCTTATAACCATGACAATAAGAATTTGGACATAGATGTAGTTCTTGATCATTTATCTTTTTTAAATAAATGAAATATAAGGACAGGCATAGGAATCATATATCTCAACACTAGAAAGGATAACAAATATTGATGGTATCACACAGGATTTTAGAGCTGAAAGAAAAGTTAGAGAAAGTCTAGTCTAACCAATACGTCATCCTACAGATGAGGCTAAGAGAGTAATCTGTCCAAGGTTACTCTGAGAGTTACAAGCAGGGATTGACCTGGGACCAACTTCTCTTGGCTTCCTGTCCCTACTGCCTCTTCCGTTAAATGGCCCCCTTTCTGGACCAGCCTTTGGTAGGTTAAGTATCTTCATGACCCTTTTCCTGTTGGGACAAAAGAAATTAAATCACTTGCCCAAGATGGCGCATGCAGTAAGCAGCAGAAGGGGGCAAGGGGAAGAGCAGAGCCTGGTGAGGAATCGTTCACTCCCTGGGCCGCACGTGCTGTGTGTACTGGCTGGTGGCCATCTTCCCGGTCTGCTCTCTCTCTTTCCTCTGAAACTCAGCGAACACCTGAAATAGTTCAGATCAAATTATAGGGTTGTACTGTTCTCAACAGAGCTCATGTCTCGTGCAGTTCCTTTTAAAGGGACAAATGCGGCTCAGAGTTTTGAAGATGCACACAGGTGCAAGTTTGCAGGGCTTGGAAAAGAAAGGTTTACAGCGAGGCTTGTCCTCTGTGCCTCTACAGCAATGTGAGGTCTTGGTCTTAGTCACTCACTTTCTGCCTGTTTGAAGGGCAGTGGACTTGCTGTTGTAGTTTCCTGACTATTGACAAGAGCCTTATCCCTCCAATTCTTCTTTGGGTGCTCTTGAAATGTGTGGCTCACGTATGCCGCGGTTACCTTGTGTTGAATTTTCTTTGTGAGCGAAGGACAGAATGTTCTCTGCTGCGCACCAATAGCACTTTCCCATATACACTCAGGGGAAGCTTTCCCCCTCTCAACAGGGCTCAGAAGTCTTGACTGGAGTACTTCAGAAATAGGCCTGGTTTGTACTTTTATCAAAACAAGCAGAGCCTGGGCAGTTTCTAGCTTGGAATAGCACAGATGATCTAAAAATTTCCTAGGAAGCACATAGATGGTGCTACCAAAGGGCAGGTGTTTGGCACTCTGCTCCTCACTTAATGAGGAGATGGGGTGCCAACACTTGCTGGTGAAAGAGAAGGTGGAATCCTGTGAAAACAGAGGCTGTTGTTCATGGGGACAAATGGCTAATGCCATGTAGAGGTGTGATGTAGGAAATCAGATGCCTTGATGTGCCCGACTTATAGTCCTGCAGGGAAAGAAGTTGACTTTATTATTATTTTTCCTTAATGGAATATGCTGATAGTCCATGGGTACATTTGGAAAATAATCGGAGTAATAATTAGAAATGGTAATGGGGAAATCTTGACCCTGGAACTTGCGCAGAACCCTGCCCTGAGTGTGCTGTATTCATTAGCGTACTTTGGGGTTTCCCCAGAGGAACTTCTGTACCTCATTGCTTTGGCTCCAAGAACCCCTAGGTGAGCTGCCTGTTCACACTGAGTGGGGAAGTCAGGATTCTTCCTTCTGCTCATAGTGTGGAGGAAAGAGTTTACCTTGTCCTGTGAAGTCCTCATCATGGGTAAAATTTGTTCAACTAGCACATGACAAGTAAAGAAGTGGGGACTAGGAATTTGTCCCCACCCCCACCTCACCACAGGCCCATTCCTCTTTTTTTCTGGGCTAAGAATGAAAGTGTAAAATGGACTTATATTTTGATTCATGAGGGTATAAAGCAGTTCTTGCCACTTTTCTGGAAATCGCTCTAACATTGGATCCTTTTCTCTCTTCTCTCTTCCTTAATGGTGTTTTCTCTCAAGTGTTAAATCATGCTTTGTAGTTCAGGCTTTGAGACCAGATACACTGTGCGGTGGCTGTACCATCTTATTAAAACTCTAGATGCACTTTCCTTATTTATAACATGGAGATGTATTACTGTCCAGGTGTTATGAGGGTTTAATGATATAATGTATATACAATGATTAGCACATTGACAGGCACATAGTAAGTTCTCAATAAATGGCATTTATTATTATCATCATAGCAGGAAATCTATATAGAACCTAGGTCTGTGTTTGGCATTAGGAAACCAAAAACATGTAGAAATTATATTAGTAATTTTAGTGGCTCATGAGGACCTCCAAACTGAGCATATCTTCTAGGGAGGTCTGCTGAGCCTTTTACGTTTCTTTCAACACCAGACCAAATACTCTGGCAACAAGTAAGCAGCATGATTCCAACAAGGCGCAGCATGGCCTGCAGCTGTGTTTTCCTGATGATCCTTCGCATATTTGAAGTTTACTTTAGAAAGCAAGAACACACCCCAGTGAATAGGGCCAGCTTATATGGGCAAGACTTTTTAAGTTGTATTGCAATTGAATTAGGTAAGAATTTATTAACTATCCTACCATGTAGCCAGCACACAGCCCTCAGAGAGTTAACACTCCCATGTAAAGAGTTAGGGTGCAGCATCTTGATGCCTTCCTTAGTACTTTTTTTTTAATTCAGAAAAAAAAAAAGGCAAAGCAAATAGAAATAAAATATAAAGCTTTCTTGGACTCTCCATTTACACCATGATGGAGAGTTTGGGTTTGAATCTTGGCTCTGCCACCTGCTAACCCTGTGGCCTTGGGCAAAACATTTTCCCTCTTTGGGTCTTATCTTCCCTATCCATGCAATGGGTTACTAATATTTCCATTAAAGGGTTAATATAAGAACTCTGCGTGTGTGTGTGTGTGTGTGTGTGTGTGTGTGTTGGGGGTGGATTCACATTAAATACTTTCAAAAGTGCCTGGTATTAGTTTCACCCATGTTTGTTATTATTATTTTTATATCACTCTTTCAGCAGCCGAAAGGATTCTGTTTTGCATGACTGCATACCGATTGCAAGTCAGAGGTGCCCAGCTGGTGCTAGAGAGAGTCTTTTTTTTAGAGAGAGAGAGGAAGGGAGAGGTAGAAACATGGATGAGAGACAAATCAATTGGCTGCCTCCTGCATGCTCCCCACTGGGGATCGGGCCCACAGCCTGGGCATGTGGCCTGACCAAGAATCAAACCAGTGACCTCTTGGTGCATGGGTCCATGATGAACTACTGAGTCACAGGGGCCTGGCTAGAGTAAGTCTTATTTCAGTGCACCCAATATGTCCTTAATGATGCTTGCAGAGTAAAAAGGCATTTTTTTTTTTTTAAATGTATGTTTTCACCCTCTTGGTTTCAGTATTCAGGATTTCACACGGAAAGATCAGAATCTGATCACGACAGCCAGTGGGGCGGAAGTCCCCTGACAGACACGGCCTCTCCGCAGCTCCTGGACCCCGCAGACAGGCCCGGCTCTCAGCATGACGCGTCCTGCGCCTACAGACAGTTCTCTGACCGCAGCGCGCTCTGCTATGGCTTCGCGCTGGATCACTCCAGGCTGGTGGAGGAGAGGCATTTCCACACCCAGGCCTGCGAGGGGGGCCGCTGCGAGGCAGGCAGGTACTTCCTGGGAACGCCGCAGGCCGGGAGGGAGCCCTGGTGGGGCTCTCGCGCAGCCCTGCCCCTGACCAAGGCCTCCCCAGAAAGCCGAGAAGCCTATGAGAACAGCATGCCTCACATCGCTTCCGTCCACAGGCTCCACGGTAAGGGCCGCTGAATGACCCCGAGCGAGCGCGCAGCAGCAGGTCCCTGGGCAGGCTTATACTCTTGTAGGCTGGACATCGCAGTGGCTGACCCAGTGGTCTTCTCTGAATGGACAAAACAGAAACTCACGCTGAGGGGATTTAAAAAACCAATTCCACTCTCGTTAAGAGTATTTATTTTGGTAATAGTTTGCTAAATACAATTATTTTGGACAGGCAAGTAAACATGATTCCCATTTTAAACATCAAAAAGTATAGAAACTAAAACAAATTGTTGAGTAAGTCTGTTGAACTTGTCGTATGTACATATATACATTTTTATTATTTTCTTTTGTGTTGTCCTGCTTCAAATGTGGACAGAAGTAGTTTTGGGGCTCCTCTAGCTATGTTTCTCTCTGAGGGTACTGTTTGGGGCAGTGTTTGTTTTATGGCCCATCACTCACATCATAGGAAGTTTAACCTCTCTGATCATCTAGGCATTAAATGCCAGTAACTGCCACCTTCTCTCCTAATTGTGACAACCCATGATGTCCCCTGTGAGTCAAGGGTAGACAGGTATGTAGAACCTTGGAGATTTTCACTGTGAGATTGTTTCACGGCTTTATGAGCACACAAATGGGCACGGCAGCGAAAGCCTTTAGAGCTGCTAATACTCTTCTTTGTTCATTGGAAAGTGAAGGTTGAGGAGCCCATTCTGTCCATTTCAAACTTGGGTCCAGACAGGTCTTTGAAACCCTCCCTATTTCATTAAAAGTCAGTGACATTGAGATTGATCCGACGGCCCTGATACCACTCTTTTTACTGTGTCTTTAGGGTAAAAAATGTGCAAGAAAATGTTTACTCACCCTTAAAGTCTTCTGTCGGATACCGCCCGCCTTCCATTTCAATTTTTCTGGTTTTGCTTTTTACTTGTCTCCTCTTACTTTGAGTTTCTCTGGTTTGGTAGACTGGTAATGGAAATCCAGGGCAAAGGGCAATTGCTTGCCAAAGAATGGAATGAAGTGAAAATCCTGGCTTAACCTACGTGGTCTGGAAGAAAATATTAGAAATAAAAAAAGAGAGAAGGGAAAAGGAAAGCAATGAATAGTGTGATCCAGGGCTTTCCTGCTGCGTGAAGCAATTTACAACTTGCATGTGTCCCTTCCTGTTCTCCTTTCTTTTCTTACTGGCTTCAGACTGCTTTGAGAGTTATTTAATTCATGGGGTATACTTGGGATGCACTATTCCTACATATAAGATCTCTCTCCTTGGTTCAGAACAAATTGTTATTAACATTTAATATTTTCATTTATTCTTCATCTTATTTCAGAAACAATCTGAGATACGAGTTACTCTATGAGTATGTGTAAAACAGATTTTTACCACTAGATTTGAGAGGACAATATTTATTTTTTTTATTGGGACAGATATATACAAATTCATGCCCATGTCTATACACACACACACACACACCCCACACACACATGAATGTTTATATATTCTTCAAACGTTTAAAAATTACATTAGAGCTTTGTTGTAACTCTACTTAAGATACATTTAACAATATTGACATTTTAGGTGATTTATTGGGAATTGAGAAAATAGTCCAGCCAATATCATTGTCTTCCTCAAATCCAATTGAAAGCATTTTCTAAGTATCAATTTAACATGATACTTTTCTCAAAAACTACATAAACCAAATGCTATGCATTTCTCTTTTATTATTTACAACTGGACAGGTCCAATGATGTGCATACATGAAGTATAAACACATTTCACTGTTTTGCTAATTGGCATTCACAACCTATGAACAAGATTTACCTTCTAAAAAAACTTGTTATAAATGTCACCCACACTTAATAGCCACAGAACTATGAATTCCAATACAATACTTTGACACTCTGTCTGTCATGTGAGCCTGTCTGTTTCAAATATTGGTGCATGTATTAAAAAGGAAATATATAAGGTTTCTTTTAAAAGGAATACACTTACATTTTGGGGGGTGAATTTCGAGACCACTTACTTTTTACTTTTTCTTATTTCTAGGGCGAGGTCATTGGGATGAAGATAGTGTGGTCAGTTCTCCAGACCCCGGGTCTGCCAGCGAATCAGGTGACCGGTATCGCCCTGAGCAGTATCAAAGTAGCCCACATGAACCTAGCAAAATTGAAACTCTGATAAGAGCTACCCAGCAAATGATTAAAGAAGAAGAGAACAGATTGCAGCTAAGGAAAGCCCCCCCAGACCAACTGGCTTCCATTAATGGAGCTGGAAAAAAACACTCCCTCTGTTTCGCAAACTACCAACAGCCCCCACCGACAGGTGAAGTCTGCCATGGCTCCACTCTTGCCAGCACTTCACCATGTGACCACATCCAGCAGAGGGAGGGAAAGATGCTGAGCCCTCATGAAAATGACTATGACAACAGTCCCACTGCACTGTCTCGGATAAGTAGTCCCAATTCGGATCGCATTTCAAAATCCAGTTTGATCCTAGCTAAAGACTATCTCCATTCGGATATGTCTCCTCATCAGACAGCAGGAGACCATCCTGCCGTCTCTCCAAACTGCTTTGGCTCTCACCGGCAGTATTTTGATAAGCATGCTTACACATTAACTGGATATGCCTTGGAGCACTTATATGACAGTGAAACCATTAGAAACTATTCCTTGGGCTGTAATGGCTCACACTTTGATGTAACTTCCCATCTAAGAATGCAGCCAGACCCAGCACAAGGACACAAGGGAACATCTGTTATAATAACCAATGGAAGCTGATGTTTTTCTAAAATATTTTATTCTTTAAGGATCTCTGAAACATATTTATAGTTTAATGCCCCATGACCAGCATTTACTATGCTACACATTGTTAGAGAGGATAAATTAAGTTACTGGTATTTGACATGTGTTCCTTTGAAATCAACGAAAACAGCCCTAGCATTCAAGGTTATGCACAGATAAGGGAGCTAAAGTGAATACACAAATTTCCCCTCTAATTATATGGGAACAGAATAGATAAATTTTGAATTGAAAAATACTTGTCTAGATTAAGTGAGCATGTTTACCACATGAAAGGACCGATGGATGACAACATCATGCAGTGATGATCCAGCTGGCTGTGTACACACAGAGCGCTATCTACAAACTGCAATGTACACTTATGTGCAGAAATATAGACTATGTACCATAAATACACCCCAAATGGGTAACTTCCCTTAACCTTAGAACATTAAGACTATCAAAGAAATGTTTATTCTCAAGCTAACTAAGAAAGAGAGAGATACATCTTGTAAACTGTTTTTTTTTTCTTTGTGCTTCTAACAAGCCAGCTCATTTGGTTCAGGTATAAATTAGGGAAATGGTTATGGATATGGTATAAGAATGAGATTTCACCTGGTATCCATTATAAGCAATCAGGAAGTGGTGATTTTTTTACCTTACTTTTGAATTAGACAAGGAACAGGATCACATTGACGTATCAGTCAGGTGAAAGTGCTAAGACGTTGGGACACACATCAAAAACCTGGAGTGCCCGATTGGAAATAGTTAGTGAAGCTGGAGAGGAAGAGGCAGAGAGAAATGAAATAATATTTCAAAATGAACCAATCAACATATTTGGGGCCCATAAAACCAACCAAAAAAATTTCAAACCAATTCACCAAGAAAAAAGGCTAAGTGTGAAAACTAAGGAAAACCAGTAAAGTGCTACATGATAGCAGTTAAGTGTTTGAAAACATTTCAAAGCACAGATGTGCAAATGTGACAACATGTGGAAGGCTTCAGGAGAGAGTCTAAGATAAAAGCTTAGGCTGATAGACAAGGGATTCAAAAGGGAAGAGCAGTACTTTGAAGGAACAGGCCAAGTTTTCATTTGCCTTATTGTTGTTTGTAAACAACAAAAATAGTAAATTTGGTCTTAAATGAAATTGTAGAATGACCAGCAGACTAGATGCCAAGATCTCTGGGTTCTGGTTTTGACCCTACCTATAAGTTATTTTGGGAACAAAGATGTATCACTCACCAGTTTCTTCATGTTATGGCAGTTCTAACGTTCCACGGTTCTGTGTTCAGTGGTACAGCAGAACTGAACATGTTAATCAGGTAACTCTCTGCTGTGAGTTGTTGAGACTGATCATTCTGGCCTATCTGTATTCATATAGAGGTCTAGATACTTTCTAACTTAAGCAGGTGCATGGGCTCTTTTAAGCATGTATAGTTACAGACAACTTTCTAGTTCAGCCAATATGTAGACGGTAGAAACTGATGAGGGAGAAGAAAAATAAGTAAGATTTATTTAATGCACTATTCTCTAGTAATCAAAGCAAAGTGACGTAAGTGATTAAAGACGTTTCATAGCTAATATTTTCTGGGAGCCCCATGTCTGACACTCTTGCCATATTCAAAGGGAATGTATTGGAAGAAACAAATTTATAATTTTGAAGACACAATGACATTGAACACTCAGGGATTAGTACTCTATTTTCATCATGTAACAGTTATTTGGCAATCCATAGGTAGGTGACAATCTGAATGATGATAATCTGAGAGATGAATACTGGGTTTGTTTATTCATGAGAAAAGTGACTGCATAAAATTAAATAAACATGTCTTGGGTATGACAGAACATCATTATGCTGTAAATAGAAAAAGTGCAAGTAAGTGAGAAAGTTAGTGGTTATATATATTTTCAAAAGAGTTCAAACAATAAAAACTAAATTTTGAACTATACAAGCAAAAGTATTCAGTTATTTTGAGAAAAATATTTATGAGAAGCCCCTGGAATACTTAAAATTAATTTTTCATCATTTGCAATGTGAAGTAAGGTCTTAGGAATGCTAAACATTTTACAGACTTCTGTAGATGGATAAATGGTTCAAAGACACAAATATCTGAAGAATAGGGTGTGTTTTGGAAAGGGAATCTATGCAGACGGGTTTTACTGATGGACATGCTACTAAAAATGCCAGAGACAGATGCTATAAAGGAAATAGAATCTTAAGAATCAAGGAAAATGAACTGATATGAAAGAAAAGACTGTCACTAAAGAAATTTCAGTGGAATATCTATATGGAAGATAGTGAATCTAGGAAATAAATAAATTATTAACTCTACAAATGGGGGTAATCAGAAGAAATAATGCTCTTAAAAATGGTGTGACCAATATTTTTAAGTGAGGACAGAATTTACTAAATTACATCTTAATTTAAAATTTTGATAGACTAACCCAGTTTTAAATACAAACCATTTATTTACTTTATATGTCAGTAATTATATAGTAGCACATTTATTATATTACATATAATGCCATACAGGCCTACAGTATTATATAGCTTGATTTTTTTTGCAATGTGGCATGATTATTACAGAATGACCCAAGATAATTTGAGACAGTTTATGGCAAGGTAACTTTTTAATATACTGTACACATAGACATGTTGAAATATATTTATAATTCACATTGTTTTGTTCTGTGCAGGAACATATTGCCTCACAATAATGATGTCATCTGTGTCTTTTTGAAATATCGGATGTAAAAAGTGTATGTTCCCAATAATTTAATCAGTTAAAATCAAACTTAAATTGGCTTTAGTTTTAATCCTTGATTTCTGCAACTTTGTTAGATGCTAAGAATCATGATATTTCATTGAAATAGAGAGAGAAGTATGATTTTTATATCACCTTGGGGATTCATAGACATGTGCTATATCCATTTACTCTTACAATATGTAGCAATCCATTAGATGAAACAAAGCTTAAGTTTTCTAGTAATAGTAAGAATATCTTTATTGCCCATTTTACCTGCCTGTCCTACTGAATTAAAAAATTTGGATGACCAAAGAAGTAAGTGAGTATTTCCCCTGTCTTTCTTTGGAAAATTTTGTTAAAACTATTATTGAGAATATACAAATTCAACATATTTTTGGATGCATAATATTATTTTCACAGTCACTGCAGGTGAGGCACGCAGGTATGCTTCAGCTTCACCTTTTGACATACAATGTTGAATATAATGGACCAGCTGCCTGATATAGGATAATATGACAGTGCTGATGTGACATTCAAAATGAGACAGGATGCAATAAATGATTTGTCTTCAGTAAACTAACTCATTCTTTCCTGATGTTCTTTTATGAGATGAGATTAGACTATTTCCATTGGGTAGTACTCTTAATTTTCTCTATACCCTGCTGCCACGTGATGCCTCTGGCAGGGAATCCACTTACATAAACTTTAATAGGATCTTAGGAAAAAGATAATATGCTCTATTTCCTTTTTTCCTAAAATGGGGGATGAAGATTGATTCAATAAAAGATCATTTAAAAATGTACATAGATATTTAAAAATAAAAACAAAGGCCTCTCCCCGCCCCGGGACCTAGGCCAACTAAGTTTGATAGAAGACACTGAGCTAAAGAGGCATTCTGAATACAGGTGTGATATTTATAGCTTTCGACCCCCCCGCCCCCTCAAGCAGGACATTACCAAGGTGTTGAGTGAAGTTCTGTTGGTACTAGTAGAATTTGAAAGTGACAGAGTAAATGCTGATATTTGGAAAAATGAGGATTTGGCCATTTGGGGGTCACTTACCTTGCCCAATGGATAGCTTACAGTTTAATATACTCTCTTTAATTTAAAGAATTTGAATGCCCAGATTTGACTCTCCAGTTCATTCAAATCACAAGACATAGACATACATTCTATTGTCTAAATGACTTAATAGAAAATGTAAATGCAATGGTTCTCTAAGTGACTCAACTTTCATGTAAATGTCAGTTTTTTATCAAATAGGAATTTGACTCTAAGACAACAAAATCTACTGGTTAGTTTTTACTGGGAAATGCATTGTGGATAAACCATTCATTATCATTCTAACAGTTAAGTGAATGACAGAACAGCTATGAACATATGGAAAGGATATCTTACATAGAAAATGTTCTTGGGGGAAATTTCTGTGTGGTGCTCATTTCCTGTGCACAAGAATTGTACGGGTAGTGCTTAACTCAAAAAGTGAGATTATGTGCATATCCAAATAGGGGTTTATTCAGAGTTCCTTCTCTAAGATTGTATGCAGAAAGGCTGTATGTGTGTATACATATATTTACATATACATATGTATACACACACCAACACACATGCACATGCCATTGTAAAGCAAGATTGTATTCTGCCGTGCTCCTTAAAAACTGATGGGTTCACATAAGAAATCCTAATTAATAATTTTAAATCGAACCTTTATAGTTTTCATTATTGTAATTTTGCTGCACAGGGCTTTGCTTTTATAAACCTATATAGTGGAAAATTTGTCTTAATTTGCTGACCTGGAACACATTTAATCACAATTGAATTTATACCCAACAACCCCGGCGTGTTTACATTTCAGAAGAGATGAAATGGCGTGAAAAGTTTTTAGAAGTACTGTAACTTTTTTCCTTTTTTTTTTTTCCCCAAAAGGGACTTATTTCAAAAAATGAAACATATGAGTAGGCACTTCAAAAAATATAAAATATTTTATGTTTGTTTTTTGACTGACATGCTATAAAAAGGATTATATTTGTGAAAGAAGATAATGATTGCCAATATTTCAAATACCATCTTGCAATGTAAAGTTTTTAGTGACATCGTAGTATAAATCTGTAATTTGAACTTTTACTTTGGAATGTAAAGTAGAAAATATTAGCTATGTCAATGATATCTTGCAAAGTGCTCCCATTTATAATTATTTATATTGTAAATAGCTTTCTGAAGTAAATCCGAAGTTAACATGTGCATAAAATGTATTTATTATGTGATGAATTTTTTGGTTTTAAATATAGTTACCAATATGCAGCTTGAGTCTGAATTATTTATTGAGAGACATCTTTGTAGGACAAAATGAACTGTCAACCAGCAGATTAGAACTGTAAAGAAATAAGGACTGTTTTAGCTCTAGAATGGTTAATACACACACACACACACACACACACACACACACACACACACACACATTTAAAGAGACCTAGCAATAGAAGCTTACATATATGCCCAGTAAAAATTAAGTGATGGGTCTAATTTTTATTAGACACTGGAGATTGTTTTCTCAACTTTTTTTTTATCCTCACCCAAGGACATATATATATATATATATATATATATATATATATATATATATATCTTCAGAGGGAGAGAGGGGGGAAGAGAGAGAGAGAAACATCAATGTGAGAGAGACACATCGACTGGTTCCCACCCACACAACCCCAGCCGGGGCAGGGACAAACTGCAACCAAGGTACGTGCCCTTAGCGGGCACCAAACCCGGGACTCTGGTCCGCAGGCCGACGCTCTAACTGCGGAGCCAAACCAGCCAGGGCAGTTTTCTCAACTTTTCATTAGAACATCTTAAGCAGCACTTCTTCGGTCTCCACTTTTCTAAAATAAAGCAAGAATTTGAAAGTACAGATTACATTTTTAATGCCCAAGGGAAACAAAAACATATAAAATTGAGGTTAGTTTGCTGTCATTCAAAAACAAATTAAAAACACATCCTGAATAATCCTTATTTTGGAATTCAAAGTATTTTTTACATTTAAAATGAGGAAATAAGGCCAAAGAAAAGTAGATTGCCAGATGGTTTTCTCATAAGCATTTTCATAGCACCCAACCTTTTCTCTCTCCAGAGACTGCGGATTTACCTTGATGTATTCCAGAAATTGTCCATTTAGCCAATTCAACCAACCGACACAATATATTTTTAATTCAGTGGAAATATTGTTTGCATTTCATAAAGTTATTTTGACAAAGCTACATAAAGTATCATTGCCATTAATATTGCAGCATTTATCAGAATTTTTTCCAACATAATGCTTTTGTTTCTGAAAGTAGAATTTTCACCTGCTTTATACTCCAAAATAACAATTTCCAATTTAATCCACAATATTTATGGAATACTTGTTATATGCTCCAAATGGGATGGATGCCAAGAATCTTTCTCACTGCAAGACGTTACAGGGAAGCACATACTGAGGGTCCTTGATTTTCTTTATGTGCTTTGGAAGTGAAAAGTCTTTAGATGATCACAAATATGACAAGTATTTATTGAGTCATAACATGCCGGGCGCTGAACCAAGCTCAGATTATCACTGAAATCTGAGTAGAGACCGTCACGGGGGCTATCCCAATATGCCCCATTTCAATAATGGTCAAGGGACCTAGTGGCACAGCTAATAAGTGGTGGAAATGAAATTTTTACCCAGGCAGGT